GTTGCGAAACGTCTGAAAGTGTAAAAAAAAAAATACATAAACGATATAAAAGTAGTTTTTTTTTAATTTTTCAGAATACAATTTCCAGTTACCAAGATGGGAAAATCTTGATTCTTCAGTTCAATCTAATCAATACAATCAATTGAATAATGTATTCGGCGTTGGTGGTAAAGCCCGATAACATCAAACGCTAGTTTACAAACCAACTAATTGATTAATCAGTCGGGCGAGAATTTAATTACGCTTTACTATTTATGTTTCGTGTCTACGTGTGACTGTACTCCCTTAATGTTTATCTCTAAAAGAAATTTAAAGCTGGTTGGATCGTTAATTTCTCTTGTTTGAGCCCAGGATACAAATCGTCCTAAAAGTACGATTTTTTAATGTCAATGTAAGCAAGGGCATGGGCAGTAGCTTATCCTTATATCGTGACTTTGAGAACCAGTAGATTTTTTATTTATTTATTTATTAAGGATTATCTATAATCAGGTCGAAAATATCGTTTTTGGTCTAAATTTAGATTCTATCGATTGTTAAAAATTATTTGTATAATCAATACTATAAGAAGTATTTTATTAGGTTTAGGTCATATGGATTGAAGTTGAAGAAATGCTATAGTTTTAATACAGGACCTCAATTCTGTTAATATTAATTTAATGATGTTATTTCGTTACAATTTGTTCCATAAAATAATTGTCTTGTCTACCCAGACGGCGATATTATATGTGGAACAGCACCTTGATGAATTAATACATACATAGGGATTTTTTTTTCTGTTTTGTAATCTAATTATAAAAACTGTTTTAAAAGAAGTACGCAGAATTAAGAACTGTTTGCTGGTGCTGCTCTATATCGATAGTTGTAATAGGGAAATTATCGATAACGCAACAGCACTGATTCGAACACCCAGTGCCTGTGTTTTAGACGATAATTCTGTCAAATTACACTTAATACGTCGTGGGTCGGGTGTCCGGACAGCCACAGTGCTAGTGCAGCCGCAACTAAATTATAATTAAGAGCAATTAGAACAGCGAGCGGCGATTGCTGCAAATTTGCTCATCGTTTATCATTTGCTGTCTTGTTAGTGAATGATGATTTTCTCGATCTGATTTAACTGAATTGGCTGGCTTTTATGAACTGTTGTAGGAATACTAATAGATAAAAGGTCGGGGAAAAAGAAACGTAAAGTTAAATTAACCATTATATTTACAAGAAAATGTTCCCAGGATACATCCGTAACTTTAAAATATATTCTGAACTGGAAAACATGAGTCAATAAAAATGCTAAAATACGAAAAATAGTATATTGGATTAAAAAAAGACGACAAAAAGCTTGTCTATTATAAAGCAATCGTAAGATCCTTAGCGAATTTACTTGTAAAGATTTTTTAAGACAAGCAATCAGTGTCAACGGACTATCGCTGTCTTGTTTACCCCGTAAATTAATTAGTTTCCGAATAAATATTTTTATGGATAAATTAATGTAGTCTGCGAAGAACATCTTATCGTAGGTGTTCTAAATAAAGGCCGCACGATGAGCGCTAAAAACAGACCGGTAAATGTTGATTTCAAGTGGAGATTAATTGTCTATGCCTTATAGGGCATACAAGCATTTCTGCCAAATAGGTCATATTATGTAATGTAACTTTGAACGGGTTCAACAAGCCGCGTGTTTGCATCGAGATCAAATACGGGTATGTCTTCCAATGTTTGTGCTGTACTGATGAGGCCACATCTTCTCTAATGGCAATTTGAGATAGGCGATACAACTTGACCTAGACTAGACTCGTTTAAGAGTCAACACAAATTGATAGGTTGTATTTTATATAGAGATATTAAGATCAGTATTTCTGAAGATTACCCCCTAAAATAAAATAATAAAACTAGAGTTAGAGACTTTCATCATCATCATCACCAGCCCTTTTACGTCCCCACTGCAGGGGCTCAGGCCTTCCTTATGGATGGTTAAGGAGGATGGGCCATGACCCTCCACGCTGACCCAATGCGGATTGGACGGTATTAACGACTGCAAATGCAGCCGGGGCCAACGGCTTAACGTGCCTTCCGAAGCACGGAGTAGCTCGAGATAATAATTTTTTGGTCACCCATCCCGTGACCGACCCTTGCGAAAGTTGGTTAACGAGTACAATCGCGAGACGCGGCGCTTATCCACTACACCACCGAGTTAGACTACCTTTTTTATAATATTAGATATCACGAATAGATGTATTAATGTTTTACTCTCCCTCCCCACCTAAGCATACATAAACCGGTCAGCCGACATGTGTGATTTAATATATTGTGTTTATTGTTACAGATGCGTGTCCGGTGAAGGCATGATAATACGGGTGACGGAGGCGATGCCGTCCCGGGCATCATAATTAATATTTCGATTTTTAGGTATTGTATTATTGTTAATGTCATTATTAGCCTATTAATGTTCCCACTGTTAGGGCACAGGTACCCTATGGATAGAATAGAATAGAGAGGATACGCCGTGATGACACACCACGCGGGCTCAGGCGGATTGTTGAGTATTAACCACTGCAGATACAACCGTCATTAACCGGTTAATGTGCCTTCCGAACCACGAAGGAGCCCGAGAATAATAATTGTTATTATTTTTGGAATTTTTTCGTTCACAATACTATATTAATATGTGTTTTGTAGTAAAACTTTTCGATTGGTGAAGGCTTCATTTGTTTATAAGACATTCAGCTAGTTGCGCAAACGTTCATTAAGGCTTAATGACGCCTTTAAGCTCTAATGAATGTCAAATTTGCATGGGTAATGTCGCTTTAAATTAATGTAAATTTTAATGGACGTTTGTGCAACTGGCTGATTTAGTGGCAATATTTGGAATAAGTTAAATTTGCGTATTCCAATACGGGTATAGTCTACAATTCAATTCAATGTAGAGTCTACACCCGTATTGGACGTTATGACCCGTATTTATTTTCGTTTACTGTCTACACTGTAGACAGTTATTTTTTTTCTGGTAGTTATTTTTTTATGCTTATTATATTTGTAATATTTTAATCTTAATCTAATTATAGCCAACAGCGCGTGGCGTCACTCCCTTCTCACTCATATCAGAACCTAGACAATTTAACCTTATGTAGTATAATCGGCCGACCTGTTGTTCGGTAGCCCTTTAATTGAATGGCGCCATTCAATTAACGGGCTGACTTTCGATCAGCCGAGTATTTTGAAACAACTTTCTACAATGTAATAAGTGTTAATTTATCGGTAATATCGAAATTTGTGAGTAAGATTAAATTAGAAGTAAAACAAAACTTTGAAAATGAATTTATTTTTAGTTTTTTTGTTTGTTTTTTAGATAAGTTTAATGTATATCTATAAAATAAAAAGATACAACAAATGTTATCTACACCTTTAGTATATGTTTAATGCATTAATGCAAAAAAATGACGCATAAACCAATTATGCTTTTTGTGCTTACACGACAATCGAGCAGTCTAATTCCGTCTGCATCTCAAGTGTCTGTTTACATTTTGAAAGTATTTTTTAAATGTAGGCACATGCATTGAATTATAATTCTTTAATTCAGTAAATTACGAAGGAAAAGCTAACTTGTGTATTACGCAGCAATAGGGAAAAAAACAAAAGCGGTGGGTAAACTGACGTCATTAAACAAAACAATTGATTCATTTTAGAGGAAAAGGATAGATTCCTTTAATTAATAGAGAAGTAGGCTTGAGCAACCCACGTGCGTTAGATAGGACAAATTTAAAAGTTACTCATGTACTTATCTATAAACTCACGTTTTAGAAGACGACTGTACAGAGATTTGGTTCCAAATTTCTTGGTAATTTTAGTTAAGGTTCTCTATCCATTTGCATAAAATAATAAGGTATGCATTATATTTTTATTTACTTTTTTGTCTCATTATTATATATTTACACATAACAGCGATATTTAAATTGATGCCTTAGGATACTAATGCTAAAGCATTAATTTAAAAACTTGTATGTAATTCAATTATCTGTATAACACATAACTCCATAATTCCTGATAAAAACAAGCACAAGAACAGCCAATATCACTCGTAAGTAAACTAACGATATGCTATGAATAAGCGGCCAATATGGTAACATCTGGTGCCCAACAGTTATGGCATGTAAGCTGTCACAAATCGCTAATTTATTTTAGAGATCAGTGTTCTTGGAAGTCTCTTGTTTCTTTAATCCTTCCTTTACATTGTGTCAAAAAGTGTTTTAGAACGTGAGAGATACTAAAATGCATATACTAGCTGTTCTATATATGAGCGTTATCAGCCAACGCTAGCTCTCCCGCCGTAGAACTTTTCTACGTTTCAGCTAAATGGAAAAGCACGGAGGGACGTAATATAATTCAGGTCCCTGTTAGTTCCGTATTTAAATTTAAAATTAAGGAAGTGAAGGCGCCCTTCACGACGTAGGTGGGCAATGAATGGAGAGACCTTAAGTTCCTTAAAAGGAAACTTGGTCTGGCTTCTTTTAATATCACGTGAAAAAATAAATTGTGACTTGACCTCTGTGCTGACTCGGAAGTGAAAAACATCAAATACATAAGATGTTCGTTATCCTACGCTATAGTTAGTTAGGTAATGGTTTTGTTGCTGATTTCAGGTGGGAGTTTAACTATCGGTCCACATTTGTAATATATAACGCTTGTTATTTCTATGGGATAAGGAAGAACTTTATTAAATGTAAAAGCTTAGTTAAGAAAATAAAGAATCTCCTTCGTAATAAATACTTGCTTATTCTTAAGGTGTTTTGATTTAAAAAAGTCTTGCTTTAGTTTAACATACTCATTCGTTTGTACAGTACAGCAGATTATTGTAGAAGGCCTTTGTCCAATGAATTTTAAATCTTTGGATTGTTAAGCTCAAATTAATTGCTATAGACCTTATATTGGACCGTTTGCATTAGTCTAACGTTCTGTTGTGTGTACATGTGTGTATGTATATGTTCCAGGTGTGACAGTGTGAGGTCGCGATGGGCGCGTCCGGCGTCTCGGACGAGTACACGCCGCCGCGTCTCTCGCGGCTCCTGCACGCGTTGCCCCACATCAACGTGACGCTGCATCGCGTCAACGACACCTTCGCGCCAGACTCGCCCATCTATCTAGAGGTAATACTGCTCATTCACTGCATCTTAGAGGACATTGACATTACAATGTGCTGGTTTGCTACCTTCGCGAAAATCAGTCTTCGGATCTGTGAAAGAACTGTCCATTGCCGTTACTGACCTCTATAAAAACATCATGTAAGGCTGGCGTGGTTTGTCTTAGCTTGTTTTGTGCTCAAAACAAAACAAAGATTAATAGCCTTGCTAGCGAATTCGATGGCTCATTGTTCCAAAAACATTGAATACAGTATTGAAGTCTGTTATCCATGGTTCTTGTCCTTGAGTATACATTGGGGTTTATACATTGTATACATACATGTATTATACAGTATACATTGACGACCTCCGTAGCCGAGTGGTTCGCACGCCGGTTTCAAGGTGTCGCCATCTCTGAGGTCCCGGGTTCGATTCCCGGTCGGGTCAATGTAGAAAATGAACTTTTCTATATTGACTCAGGTCTGGGTGTTGTGGTACCTTCTTTGTCTCGGATACTCCATAATACGGGGGCTTTAGCTACTCATCTTGGAATCTGAGCAATGTATGAGATGTTGTTAAATATTTAAAATATTAATATTAATTAATATTTATTCAACAAAGATAAACAAATTGAATGCAAAGTCTCACCCTCAGATATATTTTATTGTAAAAAGGTTGCATCAATTTTCTTCATATTGAATCTTTATAAATAATCAACACTCCAAAAAATATTTTCTATTTGTCCAGTTATTGTTGCTCGGATTGCGGCAGTTGTTACCTAGTTGATTTTTGATCCCGAATCTTTATTTTTAACGAGATAGTAACATTTAAGTGCTTTAAGTTAAACTAATAAATAAAATTTACATTGTTGAATGGTGTTTTTTTTTCATTGCAGAGTTTGGGTATTCTCGCATCGATTCCCGGTGCGTGGTTGATCCTGACGTTATTGGTGCTGCTCATATACCTTCTGACGAGATGCTGCGACAGAAAACCAAGAGCACCCAGGAGTATTACAGCGCTGAAGGTGCGTTTCTTGTATAAAATAACGTTGTTTGTAACAAAATATATTAAAAACCCCGTCGATTAGTTTCTCTGGAGTGAATAACTTTATCGTTTACATGTAATGGACGGTCGTTAGATGTAAACGATAAAGTTATTTACTTTGTAATAATCATGATGTTCTTTATTATCGTTTTAGGTTAAATTGATGTTTACCTACCGTTAAGTGGTAACTTATGACGGCTCATTTACTGTTCGATTGTGTAATGTGTCTATAAGTTTGTTTTTGTCACTCTGTGAATACAGGTGAATCAATAAATAAATATAAACGTATATTCATCTCTTGATTTCGTTTCACACTCAATAATTGTGTAATATTTATTATTGAACTATTTTTGGATGGGGAATTATAAAATGATCGACTAAAAAAGAATTTAGCAACTGATGATAGCATACTGTTTTAATAATTTGAGCGTTATGAATTTGAGTAAGCGGAAAATTAACTTAACTAATGACGAATATTGATTAATGATAAAATCCAGAACAAGCTTACAAAAAGTGGGTTATATTTAATCCATTTTAGGTATTACAATTCTGTCCGTGAGACTACATTACTAAGTGAGCGACAAGATATACAAAGAGAGCAGCTTTAATATTAAGATTGATTAGATTTTTTCCAACAAAAGTTTTTTCAACGAACTACTAAAAAGTTCACTTTAAGCAAAGTTTTGTAAGCTGCATTATTAATGATTATTGGTTACTGATATTCTATGTGAAGTCTTATGTTTTTTTTTATTTTGATATGATTTCTTAATGAAAAAAAGAAAACGAGGCCGGCCTGCTAAGTCGAAGCCAGAACTTATTAACCAGTGACGATGAGTATAAAAGTAGGGCTCCTCATAGCTATCTATCAATATTTGTTACAATTAATAAGAAGATTACTTTTTAAGTTGACTGAAGCGTCTTTTTTGTTTTGTTAATTTGATTTAAGTACCTAAATGCATATTACTTACTTTTTCCAGAGTATACATTGTTTCATTTAATTTACCTACCATTAAATTTTAATAATTTTCTTGGCTTTTGTATTTGGAACACTTCATATAAGATAAAATGTCGCGCAGGATAAAAAAAAAACATTTGCCAAATATTGAAAACAATGCAGGACGTAACGTTGACGCTCAAACAAATATTAGGTCGTTCAAATATTAAGAAGCATCTCATTGTGTATTTTAAGTAACTCAAATTAATGTTTGTAAGTTGCTGTTCTGTTGATTTCTCATCTTCCGCAGTCAGTTGCTCATTTAGTAATACTATGACGTAAACTAATTATATTTGACACTTAAAACTTTAATTAACAGTCAATCGTTTTAATACTACCCTTTTTGGATATGCGGTAACGGTTAACTACAATATACATTGCGCATTTGTTTAAAACATGTGATCTAATGTTTCTTATAAGAACTTGACTGGTATTGTAGTGTGAATGAAATTATCAAACGCACAAGAGGGTCCACTGGTTAAAAATAACGCGCACTGCGTACAGAAACAAAATGAATCTCACACATTAAACTCACCACAAAGCCATCTGTGCACTATTAAGAGATGAATCTTTGGCCATTATGAATAATATAACAATTGTGATGTGAGATGATGGGCATATGTCGACGAATCTGCTCTCTGTTTATAATATTATGAAGCAATGTGCATGTGGAAATATACTTAATGACTGTCCTATGACTAGACTTGTACAATAACGTATAAGATGATTCATATTTTTCGATCTGTGAATACTTTTAGACTTATTTGACTTTGGATACGAATACATGTGAAATAGCAGGGGTTTTAGGATTTTAATTCTATTATTTTGCTTCATGTAATATTTTGTAGAAATGGGGTGGAATAGTATTTGATAAAATATGTGTTAGGAATTATATAGTTTTTAGGTATACATCGAAGTCACTATTAATAGTGAAACTCCATCAAATCAAATACTTGTTTGATGTATTACGATGACGGTAGGATATAAAATTGCACGTTTCAGATAACCCTGATGATCCTATCTGTGCTGTGTTGTGGTGCTATTGGCGTGGGCCTGTTCGGCAACGACGACCTTCACAACGCTATGCTGCAGAGTATACAGGCGGGTAACCAGCTCGCCGCGCTAGTCAACACTGTCAAAAACCAGGTACACATCATTAATCTAAACAAATATTGAAGACATGATAAATAAGCTTGCATCAAAGTAAAGTTGTCAAAATCTTTAGATCGATTCGCACCATCGAAAGGTTATTCTATATATTTTTTTGTTTTAGTCGAACATCTTAGAAGAAGCTATGGGTTCACGTGCTCGAGCTCCATTAGCGCGATTAGCGGATGCGCTAGACGCGCCTATAGCGAATCAAACTGCACTAGGCACGCTCCTTCGAGCTCTTTCCGCTTTAAGAAACAATGCAAGTGCAGCTGCCTCTGCGGCTGATAATCTTAGAAGGCCGCTGGCAACGCTCAATTTGGACGCTTTTATGAAAGTATGTTTATGCATTAATAATTCTCCATATTTCTAAGATATAACAATTATGAAAAGTATAAAACAGGAAATTTTTTAATTAATATGACGGTCCCCAGAATGGTACCTTGAGGCATTGATAAATTGAATACAATATAATATGATATTTTTTAAATACATTTCATTTCCTATTAAATATAATCTGTAGATTTATCCTCAATGCTATTGAATAATATCTTACAAAAAATGTTGTGTAATCCACTTTGTCAAATGCTTTATATAAGTCAGTAAATCATCCGTAAATCAGTTAGATGATCTACTTCTATATCTTAAAAATGAGAGAGTGACAAGTAGGTAGTACAAATGAAAGTCTTTTTCGTGTGGTGTGTATCGATACATTAAGTCAATAAAAGTCACTTATTCTATACGGACGTATTTTCATACTCGGCATTTCATACCCGAATATCAGACTCAGCATCATTCATTGTTTGTGTTTGTTACATTTTAATTCCTTCCACAATGAACTTCTATGTGGTTTTCATTATCCGATAGGAAATTTCTTGAGGAAGGTTGAGCATTGATGCTAATAGTTTATGAATTCATTATTTTTCGAGTTATTGATAAGGTGAGAACAATGATACCAACATACACATACTTATTTAAGAAAAGAGAACTGACCTTTTTTGTGTATTAAGACGTCAGGTACATTGACACTTTTTGAGATGGATACTACTGATACGGATACTGGTAGTTTCGATAAATATCTTCTAATCTTATTTTTGCTGCGCGGTTCAAACATACATTTTTTGTCACATCTGTTTTTGGAAGATTAAATTTATTGTACATTTCGCACGTTGAGAACGATAGTGACACAATGCAAAAAATGCGATTTTGAGTAATGAGCGTTTAAAGTTTAAGAAATTGTAATCAGCCTCTAAACGACGTATCGTCACTACACCACCCAGCAATTTCTACGCAAGCTACGTTCACAGGGATCGTTGCATTTTAAAGTTTATACTTAACAAAGATAAATGTTGCCAAAAGTGAAAAATACGTCGTTTTTGGTTAGTGACATTGTCATTCTCAACGTGCGATTTGATGCCGATTATAATTACGTGTGCTACGTGTGGTGTGCAGCGCGTGTGGGTGTGGGAGGCGGTGCGGTGGGCGGGCGGCATGGCGGGCTGGTGCTGCGGCGGCGCCGTGTGCGTGGCGCTGCTGGCCGCCGCCGCCCGGCGCAGCCGCCGCGCGCTGCTGCTGCTCTGTGTCAGTATCCCCTTCCAACGCCGGCTATTTGAAATTTATTATTCTAGGAACACTGGAACTACGCCTGTAAAAAATCAATACTAAATAAAATAAAAAAAACTAATGTAACGTACACCCTTAACGTAATTTTTCCAATGACAAAAGAAACTCAGGTCGATAAGAATTAGACAGGGCCGGCCCGTCGAATTTATTTTTGAAATATCGCGGACGTGGATTTATAGTCAAAGAACTAAAAAGTAATTTTTTTAAAAGCACTACATGCATGGGTTCAAATAATTCGACCGAAACAGATTGTGAAGCTTCCCCCCGGATATAAGCGTGTTAAGCGGTTGCCTAGTTTGTCTATACAGACTGGTCGACCCTGTCTCTTTCAATCTATTCTGCAGTGTTATTCTTAAACGCGATTTCAATTTTTAATCGATCCAATGACGATCTTAATTTTGGTTACATCGTAATTCGTCCTCTTTATATAGAATTGTATCGAGAACATCAACATCACAATATTTATACCTAATGCTTATGTTGAAAAAAAAAATACAAATACGGTCTACAGCACAAACTTAATATCGTTCGGTTCATTCAATAATCACTCATCGTTAACGCAATCGATACTACAGTCGTATGCAAAGAATTTATTAATTTTTTTAACTTATTCCTTTCTTTTATATTGCACCACACATGTCGATACGTTTTGTTTGTAAGTATTATTTTAAAACTGCCCTTGTAGCTCATATTGCGATTACATCGTCAGGTGGGCGCGCTGATAGCGCTGGTGGCGTGCTGGGCGGGTGGAGCCGTGCTGGCGGCGGGTGCGGTGGCCGCGGCGGACGCGTGCCAGGACCCCGCCGCCGCGCTCGCCAGGCACGCGCCGCACACGCTGCCCGCTGACGTCAGTACCACACCTTTATCTTTTTCTTTTATTTTACCGCACGGGCAACGCAACTGTGAGGTCGGTGATCTGTTAACCCTATCTGTTCTCTGCTTGCGAGTAAAACGTCACAGTTTAATTTAGGCAAAGTGGAAGTGATGCAATAAAATACCATACGAAGTTTACAAATTATATTTATAATTATTATATTTGATCAATTTTGTATTCACAATGCTATATTGAAAAAATATTCTTAATGAAAAAGAGTGTCAGGGAATGGAAGGAAATGGATTTTTTAAGCATATTATGTATTTTTTGATTATGTAGAATGAACTACTGTGGTCAACGGTGTTGGTTTCACAATTACAAGATGTATGTAATTAATTTGTTGCTGGTTCATGTAATTTCATTGTGAAACTGTATGTTGATCCAATAAAGTAAAAAAAAAGAACTAAGTATGAGTTCTTGGTAAAGTCGAGGGCACTTGGAAGGATATTTACTTGTAGAACGAGCCCTACATCTACGGCAATTGTAATAAAAACAGTATACAGTCTAACTTGTAAAGTTACACGAGCTCTTGACTGTAGATATATAAAACTTTAACATTTATTAGGAAAATATAATAAAAATAACTCCCCTACTCCCGTTTTAACTGAGTTCATTCTAGTTTCCACGTACAGAAATGAGCGATCGTTTGCTTTACATTAGGCGACCTTTTAGAATCTTTAAGGAGGGGGGGGGGAATGATAGCACCTTCTGCCCCCCCCCCCCATTATCGGGCCCCTCTGTTGTGTGTGTGTCAGATGGTGCACTACTACCTGTCGTGCAAGGTGTCCCGCGAGAACGTGCTGACGGCGGAGCTGCGCAACGCCCAGCGCGCGGTGGTGGCCGTGCGGCAGGCGCTCGCCGTGCTCTCCAGGGGCGCGCCGCAACTGTTCAACGACCCCGGTATGTGACTATCACTGTGCTCTGTATTGTCCAATCGAACAATATTGTCGGTTTCAATATTTCCTTGAACTTTTACGATGCGGGTGTAGACAGTTAAACTAAAATAAAGTGGGTATAGATATAGAGCTAGGACACTTTAGGTGTTTTATAGCGTGCTATTTGGTGACGTGCGTTTATAAAGTGTCCGTGTACGTATGTAGGGCTGCAGCCGGCGCTGGGCGCGCTGGGCGCGGGCACGGCGGAGGCGGAGCGCGCGCTCGTGTCGCTGAGCAGCGCGCTCGAGTGCCGCGTGGCGCGCGCCTCCTTCGTGTTCGGCGCCAGGGCCGCGTGCGACGGCGGCCTGCAGGTATATATATATTGTGCGACAGCTGTAACATAACGCGCTGTGTCGCTGAGCAGCGCGCTCGAGTGCCGCGTGGCGCGCGCCTCCTTCGTGTTCGGCGCCAGGGCCGCGTGCGACGGCGGCCTGCAGGTATATATATATTGTGCGACAGCTGTAACATAACGCGCTGTGTCGCTGAGCAGCGCGCTCGAGTGCCGCGTGGCGCGCGCCTCCTTCGTGTTCGGCGCCAGGGCCGCGTGCGACGGCGGCCTGCAGGTATATATATATTGTGCGACAGCTGTAACATAACGCGCTGTGTCGCTGAGCAGCGCGCTCGAGTGCCGCGTGGCGCGCGCCTCCTTCGTGTTCGGCGCCAGGGCCGCGTGCGACGGCGGCCTGCAGGTATATATATATTGTGCGACAGCTGTAACATAACGCGCTGTGTCGCTGAGCAGCGCGCTCGAGTGCCGCGTGGCGCGCGCCTCCTTCGTGTTCGGCGCCAGGGCCGCGTGCGACGGCGGCCTGCAGGTATATATATATTGTGCGACAGCTGTAACATAACGCGCTGTGTCGCTGAGCAGCGCGCTCGAGTGCCGCGTGGCGCGCGCCTCCTTCGTGTTCGGCGCCAGGGCCGCGTGCGACGGCGGCCTGCAGGTATATATATATTGTGCGACAGCTGTAACATAACGCGCTGTGTCGCTGAGCAGCGCGCTCGAGTGCCGCGTGGCGCGCGCCTCCTTCGTGTTCGGCGCCAGGGCCGCGTGCGACGGCGGCCTGCAGGTATATATATATTGTGCGACAGCTGTAACATAACGCGCTGTGTCGCTGAGCAGCGCGCTCGAGTGCCGCGTGGCGCGCGCCTCCTTCGTGTTCGGCGCCAGGGCCGCGTGCGACGGCGGCCTGCAGGTATATATATATTGTGCGACAGCTGTAACATAACGCGCTGTGTCGCTGAGCAGCGCGCTCGAGTGCCGCGTGGCGCGCGCCTCCTTCGTGTTCGGCGCCAGGGCCGCGTGCGACGGCGGCCTGCAGGTATATATATATTGTGCGACAGCTGTAACATAACGCGCTGTGTCGCTGAGCAGCGCGCTCGAGTGCCGCGTGGCGCGCGCCTCCTTCGTGTTCGGCGCCAGGGCCGCGTGCGACGGCGGCCTGCAGGTATATATATATTGTGCGACAGCTGTAACATAACGCGCTGTGTCGCTGAGCAGCGCGCTCGAGTGCCGCGTGGCGCGCGCCTCCTTCGTGTTCGGCGCCAGGGCCGCGTGCGACGGCGGCCTGCAGGTATATATATATTGTGCGACAGCTGTAACATAACGCGCTGTGTCGCTGAGCAGCGCGCTCGAGTGCCGCGTGGCGCGCGCCTCCTTCGTGTTCGGCGCCAGGGCCGCGTGCGACGGCGGCCTGCAGGTATATATATATTGTGCGACAGCTGTAACATAACGCGCTGTGTCGCTGAGCAGCGCGCTCGAGTGCCGCGTGGCGCGCGCCTCCTTCGTGTTCGGCGCCAGGGCCGCGTGCGACGGCGGCCTGCAGGTATATATATATTGTGCGACAGCTGTAACATAACGCGCTGTGTCGCTGAGCAGCGCGCTCGAGTGCCGCGTGGCGCGCGCCTCCTTCGTGTTCGGCGCCAGGGCCGCGTGCGACGGCGGCCTGCAGGTATATATATATTGTGCGACAGCTGTAACATAACGCGCTGTGTCGCTGAGCAGCGCGCTCGAGTGCCGCGTGGCGCGCGCCTCCTTCGTGTTCGGCGCCAGGGCCGCGTGCGACGGCGGCCTGCAGGTATATATATATTGTGCGACAGCTGTAACATAACGCGCTGTGTCGCTGAGCAGCGCGCTCGAGTGCCGCGTGGCGCGCGCCTCCTTCGTGTTCGGCGCCAGGGCCGCGTGCGACGGCGGCCTGCAGGTATATATATATTGTGCGACAGCTGTAACATAACGCGCTGTGTCGCTGAGCAGCGCGCTCGAGTGCCGCGTGGCGCGCGCCTCCTTCGTGTTCGGCGCCAGGGCCGCGTGCGACGGCGGCCTGCAGGTATATATATATTGTGCGACAGCTGTAACATAACGCGCTGTGTCGCTGAGCAGCGCGCTCGAGTGCCGCGTGGCGCGCGCCTCCTTCGTGTTCGGCGCCAGGGCCGCGTGCGACGGCGGCCTGCAGGTATATATATATTGTGCGACAGCTGTAACATAACGCGCTGTGTCGCTGAGCAGCGCGCTCGAGTGCCGCGTGGCGCGCGCCTCCTTCGTGTTCGGCGCCAGGGCCGCGTGCGACGGCGGCCTGCAGGTATATATATATTGTGCGACAGCTGTAACATAACGCGCTGTGTCGCTGAGCAGCGCGCTCGAGTGCCGCGTGGCGCGCGCCTCCTTCGTGTTCGGCGCCAGGGCCGCGTGCGACGGCGGCCTGCAGGTATATATATATTGTGCGACAGCTGTAACATAACGCGCTGTGTCGCTGAGCAGCGCGCTCGAGTGCCGCGTGGCGCGCGCCTCCTTCGTGTTCGGCGCCAGGGCCGCGTGCGACGGCGGCCTGCAGGTATATATATATTGTGCGACAGCTGTAACATAACGCGCTGTGTCGCTGAGCAGCGCGCTCGAGTGCCGCGTGGCGCGCGCCTCCTTCGTGTTCGGCGCCAGGGCCGCGTGCGACGGCGGCCTGCAGGTATATATATATTGTGCGACAGCTGTAACATAACGCGCTGTGTCGCTGAGCAGCGCGCTGGAGTTTATTTCGCCAATCTGAATCAGTGACTACTTCAAAGTACCCAATTCCTTCCTTTTAATTAAAAATAAGTTATAAAAAAGAAATAATGGGAATGTTTTGTTGTACTCTAATTAGCCAGAATTCACTTCAAACTCAAAATTAATTTTTCCAGGCGCTGTCACTACAACTACTGGCTGCTGTGGTAGCAGGATTTCTGTTTACGGTTATAGTGCTCGTCGATTCCCATGCCTGGATCTACATTAATACAAAGTGAGTTTATTCAGCTCATGTAGAAAAAATCGTGGTAGTGGTAGAAAAAAATTAACTAGTAAAATAAATATATAATAGTTATAAAATAAATAATAGTTATATCAACAACATTTATATCGGCAATATTTTTAAACTGGTAGAGTTATAGTGAAATGAGAAACTTGCCGGAACTATCCACCCCTGCTTCTTTAGGTTCTTAACAATAGGCACTTTTTATATCTGTAATTTATTGATATCCAAATAATCGAAATTGTTTATTTACGTTGCAGTATTTCATAGATACCAGTGCCACGAGTTTTTAAGTAAATAATATTCGTTTGAGTCTATGAAAAAAAAAGTAGTTTTTCATAGATTGTTTGTATTGGTTGTTGGTCTGTACTCTGTATTATATTTAATCAATTTCTTTTATTTTAATCAAATACCTATATATTTATTTGATAGATCTCTAAAACGACGACAAGTAAATAAATTGATATATAGTAAATTAGGCATTATATTTAACAGCGACATGATTATTGATATTTTGTTACCAAGTATACCCTCGAAAGAAGCATAATTAACTTCTTTCTAATGCTATAGTAAATGGAGTATAGCGACGCCATACCAGTTTTGCTATTATTGTGACTTTAGTTTTTTCCGAGTGGAATAATAGGAATGATGACTTATTTTTGTTTGTTTGTTCGTCAGGTAGAGTGTTAAAAAATATTTAACGTATTTTTTAATTTGTTTCGTAATCATAAAATTACGGCGTTACATTGAGTTGAAATTTCGCATGACGTCACGTTAGAGTACGTTTACTATTCAACTGTGACGTAGCGAGCCCCCACTCCCCAACTTTAATTCCCGTTATCTAAGCTATTTCTCGTTAAATTGAAGTAAAAAAAATACGTATTTAATATTTTTCTATTATCTGACTGACGGACTAAATAGAATTGCATTTTTTTTACCCAGTCATCATCCCTATTGTAAAGAGTGAAACACCTGTTATAAATACCTGTTACGTCCAGACGCAGCGGTACCGGCGAGGAGCAGGCGCCGTTCCTGTCGAGCGGCGGCAGCAGCGCCGCGTCGCGCACCCTCCCGCGCCCCGCGCCCTTCCCCAACGGGAAGCCGCCCTCCTACAGCGCCGCCGTGCAACTGATGGACCTCGGCGACCGCGAGCGACCCAGGTCTGTACTCTATACTATAAGAGTATATGTACTCTTTGCACACCGAGCATAAGTAGCTCGGTGGCGTAGTGGATAAGCGACGCGGCCCGCGATCGCTGTCGTTAAGCAACTTTCGCCATGGTCGGTCACGGGATGAGTGACCAAAAAATTATTATCTCTAGCTCCTTCGTGCTTTGGAAGGCACGTTAAGCCGTTGGTCCCAGCTGCATTTTGCAGTCGTTAATACCCTCCAATCCGCATTGGCCCATATTCCTTAATATATTCCATAAGGAAGGCCTGAGCCCCTGCAGTGGGGACGTAAAAAGGGCTGATGATGATGATGATACACTTCGCCCATTCCAGAATTGTCAGTAATTAAAAATTAAAGAGTTGAAGCTAAAGTTTTTTCGTTAAAATGTGTTTTTTTTTATTATAGCTGAAAAAAAAAACCTCTTATTACAGGACTAAATGCATATTTGATTATTTTCCACGTTGAAATATCATTGGTAATAAGCTGAGTATCACGTTTATGTTATCATTATAAGATCTTAGTTTTATTTTTCATTAAACTTTTTTTTAAATGTAGTCGGTAATATATATTAATCTGGTAATGACGTGGTTTTGTGAATGTCGTTACTCCCATTAGAGCTGGTGAGTTTCTTGCTCGTTCTTCTTATCAACCAAGAGACGTCTTGAACTAGTTGTAGAGAAAAAAATGTTGGCCGATTCACAAGTACTTCTAAGAATTTCTTATATTTTCACGTGCACTATCCATAAATGAAACAACTTATAAACGTTTTCATCGCGTTTGAATTTAGTTTTATTGACGTTTTGGCCCCTTTACAGGGTCCGTGTTCGAATAAGACTAAGGTGTTGTTTGTTTTTTAATTAAGAGTATAGCTACCTTCAAAAATCAATACTAATGTACGTATTCACAATAAAAAAAGAATTTATATTTTCTAGCAACGTTTAAATTTATTAAAACTAATTACAAACGCGATGAGACCGTTCAAAAGTTGTTTCATTACTTTTAAGAAGTGTTATTGAACAAAGATTATTTAGACTGTTGGTACTGTCGGTCAGGTCCCGCATGTCGGGCAGCGCGACGTTGGGGCGGGGCGCGAGCGCGGGCGGGGGCGTGGGCGGGGCCGGAGCGGGCGCGGGCGCGGGCGCGGAGCGTATACTGAGCGGGTCGCACACGCTCGGCCGCGCGCCGCACAACGGCAAGTACGCGACGCTCAGCAAACAGTGCAAGACCTTGGAGAGCAACGACTTCTACTGAGACCGGCCCGGCGGCGGCGCGCCCGAACCGTCACAACACGCCGGTACTGTATTCGTTATCATATCATTGTAATCTCTTAATTAAATTTGTTTGAAAATTATCTTATTGCGTCGAGTTACCTCCGCAGAAAAGAACCCACACAAAGAAGAAAAAATTCAACATTAGGTTTTATTGTTTGTTATTATTATTTTTTTTATTATGTTATCACACATAATTATTTATTTGGAGGTGAAAAATATGCAATAACGTAATAGAAAGAACTAGTCTTAATTCTACAACCCGCATACTTAAGCTATAATCATCAGATCGAGCATTTACTAAATTACCGGTATAGATTTAGTAAATGCTCGACCTGATGATTATATTGCATAAGTGGCACTCTTAAAGAGTTTAACTGTAAGGTGCGAATATAATGAAGCGTTTCGTTTATATTCCCCCAGCAGGGCAGGCGGGCCGCATTACTAGCCTGAACCGCTTCGACCCCAAGTACGCGTCGTTCGGTCCCCGCGCGCCCCGCCCGCGCCCCGCCGCGCCGCCCCCGCCGCTGGCCACGTTCTCGGCCGCGCCCCCCTCCGCGTCCGCCTCCCCCTCGCCCGCCCCCGCCCCGCCCGCCGACAAGTACGCGACCGTGCGCGCCCCCCGCCGCGCGGAGCCGCAGCCCCTCTCCGCCGCGGCGCTCGACTACCGCTCGCTGCAGCGCCCGCGCCGCCACCACGCCGCGCCGCCGGCCGCCGCCTCCGCCGCCGCCGCCGCCGCCGCGGCCGCCGCCTCTCAGCACCGCCGCCGGACCGACCGACCGGACCGACCCGACCGACCGGACCGCACTCAGCACGACCAGCGCGACCTCTACGCCGTCACCGAGCTATAGTACCGCTACAAGTTGAGTGGTAGCTCGTTCTGAACCAAACTAATGCCACCGACTTGTTATGTGACGGTGCGACTGTAATGTTGCGGCCGCGTAATAAAACGAGACATTTATCCCGTCACCGAAATGGGCGGCTTATCTTAAATGACTGCAATCTCCTACATCTATGAACTAAAGACGACCGGGTGGATTCGGACGAAGATACCGATGAGTGTGCTCTAGCCTCTTTCAGAATTGAGGCTTTTGTGAGTACTCGCTTTCTGATGATATATAGCAGCAAAAAAGAGGCCCCGCAAATAAGATATCTAATCGGTCGATCAGTATGTTCCGAATGCTCAAAAATAATGAAATCTTTATGAAATAACCAATTTAAAAACTAAATATAGTTGTCTACACATGATTAAATAAAAAAAATATAGTTCAAATAGTATGAACACAAACGATCCGAAAATCGATACAGTAAAATAAACGAATTGAGACATTCGATGAAATCATCACGATAATTCTAGATATTCAAGAATATACCTACGTTACAAATCAATGTCAAAATTGCAATTTCCATTGTAGTAAACAGAAGATAATGTCTAATGTATTTTAAATTAACATATAAATCAGTGGTCGCCTGAGAAAATGAAATAAAAAGCACTCGTTAATTCACTATGATGACCATAGAGAATTAGTGAAGTGCACTACGCTGGCATAGACAATGATAATTCGCCAATATGATTGGTGGAATAGAGCAAATAAATTATAGTGTAACGATTGTAATAATATTGTTTATGGCGTTAAACTTTTATACTTATCGGATAAGCGTATGAGCATAATTATGGTTAATCTTTGAAAATATTAGAAAGCACAAAAGACAGTAATTTTTATTATTCATAGACAATGATACCTAGATATTGATTTTGTTGAATGCTAGTATGAATGCTATTAGATAATTCTACTTGTGTTTATGGTGAATTTTATCAATTTTATCAAATTATTTTTTCAGCAATAGCACTAAATTTACTTGAGGATTCATGTTTACTAACTTTAACGCAATTATGTCGCGTTAATAAAATTTTATACAGTTTTTGTCACTAGAAATCTAAATTCTATAACTGTCGACATGATGCATGAAGTCTATTGATCATCAGGCTTGGTAATATATTGATTAAATGCAATTAATTGACTTTAAGGCGATGGAAATTAACAGAATAGGGTTTGTTACGATGGATTGATAAAGAAATGTTAATAATACTGTCATTGCTCAATTCTTTATAATTTCATACATAACGGAACCTATCAAGATGATTCAAATATGTTTTCGAGAGATTTAGCGTAAAAAATTTTTAATAGAATCAGGATTCCTTATCGAGGGCCTATTCTTAGTTTTACTTATATAATTTTGTAGCAACTAACTTAGCTATTATATCTACACTGTTGGTCTAAAACAAAATTTTGTAAATCGAAAATAATCTCTAGGTACTCTTTTAATTCGTAAAAAGATGTCCATACTCACTAAAGGCTGTGTTAATGCAAGTTAATAAATTAACGACCAAATAAATGAATAACCCGATTTCTTTAACAATAAAAAGTGATCTGTATAGACTGCGACAGTACACTTATTCGTTTTTAACTCTGTTCTCGCTCAATTTAAGCTTATGACCGTGTCGGAGTGAAATTAAGTCTATTTGATAAATGAAAAATCACGCATTAACGTGTGATTCCTTTTGAGTGAAATTTGCTCTTAAGTGATATTTTAGATCGCGGAGAGATGCCAAATTTTAGAGAATATTGGTTTCTCTACGGATCGCCGTAGATGGAGTGGCAATAATACGATTGATGACAACTTAATTTCAACCTTAACTAGTATTGCTATTAAATATTACAATTGATATTAAAATTTATATGATAAATGACACAATGAAGCGTGAGTTTGAAGCTCTGTTATGAAGGAATAAGGTTGATATTCAGTTGAATATGATCCATTTGTTGTCACTCTGATTGTATGCACTGATTGTTTGCTAGAGCGGTTGGAAATTGTATCATAGTGTGAAATTTAAACTAAATAAAATCGTTTTTAGTTTCCGCACATTTTTTATACTAATTTAGTAGAAACTGTTTGACTATAAATAACGAATGATGCTTGAAATAAAGAACACGTACAACCATTGTGAGTGAACTAAATTGGAGGATATTTTCCAGTTAGTCTCCATTTTGACCGCTCTGCAGTTGTATAGACAAACGTAGAAAATTTTCGAGCCTGATCGTAGAATTTCGTTTTGTATTGTATTTATATACAGTATGATTTATATTTGTATATATAATAAGGTAATAGTAAACATATTATGTATAAGCTTAACATAACGTACGATTCTTTGTAATTTTTTAAATTGTACATTTGAAGTCAGAATGAATACCTAACTGATTATATAAATAAGACATTTGACTAACCGAATCTCATTTCGATTAATATTTGAAAGGAGATAAATTTGTCGTGTATAAAAAGTAGATGACGGCTCAAGATGATTTACAGTTGCAATAGCGTGGACCTAAATGTATATATTATTAATATAATAATAATATTAGTGTTTCTCAATCTTTACCGATTAATTTTCTATGTAACTCTAATTAATTCGGTTAATTGTAAATTTAAATATTAGTTAATCATTCCATCGACTGTAAACAAATTGATAGTATGAAAAATTAAGATTGAATCGTCTGAATCAAAGTACAGTCAAGTAAAAGAAATATAAGCCATTCTTATTACAAAGAGGATAAGACACTTTTTATGTCAAAAATGTATATGATGTTTCTTGTAGATTTAACTAAGTGAACATAAAAAACTGCCATTTGGGAAGTAAAAAGATTTGATTGTGTCGAACATTTTAATATTATTGGAAAATAAAACTATAACACCACGAAAAGTAATTGTAAAGAGGTATAATCTAGAAATAGTACCTTGAAATAAGTAAATTACAGCTACGGTTTTCGGTTTAAAACCCATAGTTGTACAAAACTTGGAATATTACTTCACACGCGGTTTTGAACCTTAATATTTTGTTAGTAGAGTTCGTAATCGTTTGCTGAAGTGTGACTATTGTTTATTTACAGTGTGTGTAAAAGGGGAAAAAATACCTGCTCGTCACGATATTTTACACTATATTTAAGGTAAATTGTCGCAAAGAACTCGCTGGTACGGTACATATTTACGGCATTTTACACTACATTAAAAAGTGAAATACCATATTGAATACGTTGTTACAGCATTTTATACTATACTTACTTTACAAAAATTATGCGTATTTCCTTCTTTCCATTATAGATAAACGATATTTCATAATTATCGAGCCAACTATATATCTCATTGTAAAAGGCGTTTTCTAAAATATTCGAGGTATTAATTCTAGTATAACGTCTATAGTTGTATTTAAATGTAGTGTAAATTATAAGTTTAGTACTAAAACGGTACCCAGTGTTTTCCTGTTTAAAGAGAAACGGTGAAACAATACAGTTTTGTAAGCACAGTATTATAATAGGTAACTTTGTGAGACTTTACAACGACCTTCGTACGTTTTTTATAAATCAAATGTTCGATTTTTTTTTTAATAATTAAATATATCTGTATGATTTTTATGGTACCGTAAGCAGTGTATTCGCCAAAGATAATGCATAATTTAAAAAATATAAATATGCCTAGTTAGTTTTAAGGTAGATATTACGATAAGTATGTTGCTTATTTGTTTTTTAAAAGCTCAATCTGGAAATGTGCTAATATGTACATACGGTGTTTTTTTTATTTACTGATAAATTTTATTGGGTAAAAATGTGTACGCAAATATTAAATTCTTGTAATCGATCTTGAACCGCAATGTGTGTACAAATAAAACGTGCAACCAATGTTACTTGGTTTTCTGCTGATAGCAATATTCAAAAGGCACAGAGGTTTTGTAGATTCAGATTTCCTTTCGCAGCGTTCAAATTATGTTTCTATCAAAATTTATCCAAACGAGATTATCAGCTTGGTCGTGGAATAAACAGTTACTTTAAAATTTATAAAATAACTGCATTCAACGGTACACGTTATACAATCTGTCTTAGTTCTTAATCTTAAACCTTAATTCATTGCACGTACAGTCAAAATCAACTGAGGAAATTTGATAATCGCAGTAACCTTACGTGTTCTGTGTATGAATAAAAATGGAAGATTGAACTAATTTTTTTTCATACATAGATTTAATAAAATTAAGCTGTCATGGATCAATCATAATTATTAGAATAAACGAACCCAGTGTATAAGTTAAAGAAAATGCTGTTTTCAGTATTACATGAAATAAGCAACATATCTATCGAGACATAGATCTGTTATAGAGCTTTTCCATGATTGAATGTTACATACTGAAAGTTGTAACAACATTACTATAATTTATTTATACAATTCGAATTCACTTGTGTAACAATAAATTATACTTTAGCTAAGTATTTTCTTTTACTGAATTCTGCACTGTGTCACTATCTATTAGGGTAAGATAGTCGCGTAATTATTATATATTATCCTTCATTCTTCTACTACTACTTACTACTAAGAATTTTTAGTTATTTATTGCTGTTATAATCTTTACACTTATTTCTTTTATTTATAATTATTATAAAGACACAGTTCAGAATTTCTTGTTATTATGTAACTTGCAATAACATATATTTAAATAGTACGTTACACGCAGTAACCAACTCGCACATTACTTATAATGGTGATTGTATGAAACCATTTGTAAAATGTTTTATCGGTGCGGCAGTTACTCACGGGCTAAATGAAATATAACGCTTTTTGTTATGTTTTTCAATTATTGGTTACTAATTATGTCAATGTCATGGTTTCATTCTATTTGATGGTCACCAGATGGCGCTATTGTTATAATTTTGATTTCTTTTTCTACAAATAAAATGTATTTAATCATTGATAATGATAGATAACTTTGCGCATATAACGTAATGTCGTTTACTGGATTTTGAATTTGGTTTACAAGTCTCCATAACAAAATCCATACTTAAATACTTTGAAAATATATAACTACAAACGCATAACATATAGCTAT